CTTCCTTCCTTCCTTCCTTCCTTCCTTCCTTCCTTCCTTCCTTCCTTCCTTCCCCTTTCCATGTTTACAAATTAGTAACTAAGTTTATAGACTGAGCTGAAATTTCAAATATTAATTTTACTACTGTTTTTATTATTCCACATGAACAGGCATACATCTATATACTTAATGAAAAAAATGTCAGATCTCTTGATTTCTTTGTTCTACAGTGTGGTACCACCACTTATGAACCCTCTGATCTATAGCATGAGGAACAGTGAACTCAAAATGGCATTCTGGAAGCTAATTCTCCGTATTTGTCCACATCCCTTATGCAAAAATCATTCTCAGCTTCAGCTACCTATATGAACAGTTCCAGTTGTCTATACATTTTCTAGGGTCATTTCAATAAAAAAAAATCTTTAAATTCCATGTCCAGTGTGTGAATTAAATGTTCATGCTTTCTCGGAATTAAATATTATCTGTTTCTCCAGGAATCATTCCTCAGTAAATCTACCCAGAATTGCCACTTAAATCTCAATGGTAAATTATACCCTTCTGTTTATGTATGCATGCATGTGTGTGTGTGTGTGTGTGTGTGTGTGGGTATACATACATTAATATATATAAATTAATTCTTTGTGACATAGCATGGAACATAAATAAACATTATTATTATATAATAATATATACCATCCAGATCTGGAGATATTCCAACTTTGACCTTGGATGGGGGTGCACTTTCCCATTGAAGCATCCTGGTGTGCAATTGGGTTTTTTTCCTGGACTCACAACTCCTGCTTTTGCCCAGCTTTATCTGTGCACCAGTTGTGCCCTTTCCTAGATCGGGGGGCCCTTCAAGCAGTCGCTCATGCTCTTGTCACCTCACAGCTTGACTACTACAATGCGCTCTACCTGTGGCTCCCCTGAAGACCACCTGGAAGTTTCAGATAGTCCAGAATCCAGTGAGGCTGCCGGTGATGGGCATGCCTTGGTATGTCTATGTAGCAACTCTTTGCAAGCTACACTGGTTACCAGTCTCCATCTGTCAGTTTGTGGCAGGAAACATATTAAATTTGTAGTTTAAGCAATTTATTTTTATACTTAATCAAAAAGATAACATTTCTTGATTACCTGGCCATTGTGATGCTCACTTGTCAAAAAAAAACAAAAAGAAAAACAAAAACGAATATGTGTTATTAATCTCTTTTTAAGAATTAATCTGACTGTTATTTCCTACATCTCTCCTTTTTGGATATGTTATCATCG